GGTCTTGGGGCGGGGTCTGATTTGTCACTCTACTACTTTACTGAGATGGGATCAGTCTTCGGGTAGCTCCGTGATGCAAACTGGGTGTAAAGCCGCAGATGGCGGGGGCGGGGGGGGAGCAGACCAGATAGCAAATGTGACAAATTGGGACACTTTTGGGGGGTGGAGGGAGGGGAAGTTGTGTATATAAGACAAAGCCCCTAATATCGGGGCAGTCCTAATAATATCGGGATGTCAGGTCACGGGGAGGTGGGGGGAATCTCCCCAGAGCAGGGTAAAGGTCCCAGGCAGGGGTCCCCTCCAAACTGGTTGGCGAGGGCTGGTCACGTCTGAAAGCCGCTTGTGTGTGTCGGTCGGTCGGAAGAATTCAAGGAATGCATGGGGTGCTGTCGGGATGGAATGTCCTGAACCAGACGCCCCCACGACCTTCGTCACCCTCCGGGACTGATTACGAAATCGGCCCTGGCACCGCCTAGCATGTTACAACATCCCCGCTGGATGCCTGGCGCTGGGTGCTGCTAATGAGGAAAGACAGGGTTGGGTCGAGGGGGGCGGCTTTCCCCTCTAGGGGGCGCTGGCTCTGTTCTGGCCCCAGGGCAGGGCGACTGGCTGGCAGGGGGAGTGAGGGAGATGGGATGCGGGTCTTTCCCCTCTAGGGAGCGCTGGCTCTATCTGTATCAGCAAATGTGTGTGTGTTGCTGTCTCGCACGCTCATGTGCACACACTGACACAATCACTGCAGGTGTCTCTGTGTATTGTGGTCGCTGTGTGTGTCATTGTGTCTGTGCCAGCATGTCTATGTGTAGTGCCAGATCTCTGTGTGTGTGAGTGCAAATGTCTGTGCATTACTCTGTGTGTGTGCGTTGCTGCCTGAGTGTGTATTGCCAGATCCATGCCCAGTGTGTGTGGCTAGTGCGCTCTGTCTCTTTGTGGGAATGTGTGTTTATGTGTGCACCAGCGTGGCTGCGTATTGCCATCTCAGTGCCAATGTGTGTTGTTATTTGTGTGTGTTTGTCAGTGTGTGCGTTGCTCTGTGTGTGTGTCAGTGTGTGCATTGCTGTGTGTGTATTGCTCTGTGTGTCAGTGTGTGCATTGCTGAGTGTGTGTCAATGTGTGTATTGCTCTATGTGTCAGTGTGTGTGTCAGTGGGTGCATTCCTGTGCGTGTATTGCTCTGTGTATGTGTCAGTGTGTGCGTTACTCTGTGTGTGTTAGTGTGTGTCAGTTTGCGCATTGCTCTCTGTGTGTCATTGTGTGTGTCTCAGTATATGCGTTGCTGTGTGTGTCAGTGTGTGTGTTGCTCAGTGTGTGTGCCAGTGTGTGTATCAGAGTGAGTTTTTGTGTGTGTCAGTCAGTATGTGCATTGCTCTGTGTGTGTCAGTGTGTGCATTGCTCTGTGTGTATCAGTGTGTGTGTCAGTGTGTGCGTTGCTCTGTGTGTCAGTGTATATGTGTCAGTGTGTGCATTGTTGTGTGTGTGTCAGTTTGTGCGTTGCTCTGTGTGTGTATCAGTGTGTGCATTGCTCAGCGTGTGTCAGTGTGTGCATTGCTGTGTGTGTATTGCTCTGTCAGTGTGTGTGTCAGTTTGTGCATTGCTCTGTGTGTGTGTCAGTGTGTTCACTGCTCTGTGTGGCTGTCAGTGTGGGTGTCAATGTGTGCATTGCTGTGTGTATTGCTCTATGTGGGTGTCAGTGTGTGCATTGCTCTGTGTGTGTGTCAGTGTGTGTGTCAGTGTGTGTGTGTCAGTGTGTGCATTGCTCTGTGTGTGTGTCAGTGTGTGTGTCAGTGTGTGTGTGTCAGTGTGTGCATTGCTCTGTGTGTGTGTCAGTGTGTGCACTGATCAGCGTGTGTCAGTGTGTGCATTGCTGTGTGTGTATTGCTCTGTCAGTGTGCGTGTTGCTCTGTGTGTCAGTGTGTGTGTCAGTTTGTGCATTGCTCTGTGTGTGTGTCAATGTGTGCATTGCTGTGTGTGTATGTATGTCAGTTTGTGCATTGCTCTGTGTGTGTGTCAGTGTATGTGTGTGCCAGTGTATGCGTTGCTCTGTGTGTGTGTGCACCTCTGTGCGTTGCTGTCTCAGTGTGTGTCTTATTGCCTGTGTGTGGCAGCGACACCGGGTGTGTTGCCATCCCTCTGCCAGCGTCTGCGCATGCGCTGCTCTGGCTCTGGCGCGGCGCACGTACTACTCCGCCTGTGTTTGCATCCAACTCCCCCTTCCTCACCGCGCCCCCCCTTCCTCCTTCCCGCTGGAGTCCGGTTCTCCCCACAGCCACTTCAACAAAATAAAAACCTGCTCTCTCCTTCGAGCCGGAATCGAACCAGCGACCTAAGGATGACTCTGTCAGCGTTCTACAGTCCTCCGCTCTACCAGCTGAGCTATCGAAGGGAGATGCTTGGGGCCCTGAGTCACGCCTCTTAGTGGCGATGCCTGGCAAGGCTGGGCAGGAGAGGCTGTGTCTGGGTCCTAGGTCTGCAGGTGTAAGAGAGCCCCAGCCTGTTACTCCCTTCTGCTTAGGAAACCACCGGTCAGAAGGGGTGTCTGGGCGTGTGTGTCACCATCTGTTTCTCTCTCTCATCCGGTCTGTCTCCTTCGCTCTATTTCCTCTGCCCTTCGCTCTCTAGGGTGACCAGAGAGCAAGTGTGAAATCTCAGGACATTTTTTTTCTGTGTGTGTGTGTGTGTGGGGGGTGTATAGTTGCAAATATAAGACAAAGCCCCTGGTATGGGGACGTCTGGGCACCCTACTCTCGTTCTGCCTGTTTCAATCTCTCTTTCACCAGCTTCCGCCTGCTGAGGGACCGGACACCTTTTCCACCTCGCTTTGTAATCTGGCTGCGTTGGGTGCATCTGTCAGGAGGTGGAGTTGCGGGGACTGGATGCGGTGCGCCCAGTGCATTTCTCTGTCGAGTTCATCCTTTCGGTGGGTGCGGTTTCCGTTGCAGACCCCTCAATCGTTTCGAATAAAGGGGCGGGGACCCCTTTGGAAATCTTAGACACCGTCCACAGGCGGCAGATTGAAAACCACAGTTCTATGGTCATGACAACCGTCCGCAGACCCCTTAGACATTACCGGGGTCCCCTTAGACATGACCGGGGTCCGCGGACGACAGGTTGAAAATGGATCATGTCTAAATTGTGCCACTGGGGGTGTGTTAAACGGGATTCAATGGGGAAGGACGGTGTTTGTTTGCCACATCTTGTTCTGGGAAAGATGTTCTTTTTATACAATCATAGGACAACGGGAAGGGACCTCGAGAGGTCATCTAGTCCAGTCCCCTGCACTCAAAGCAGGACTAAGTATTATCTAGACCATACCTGGCAGGTGTTTGTCTAACGTGCTCTTAAAAATCTCCATTGATGGAGATTCCGCAACCTCCCTAGGCAATTTATTCCAGTGCTTAACCACCCTGACAGTTAGGAAGTTTTTCCTAATGTCCAACCTAAACTGCCCATTGCGTCTTGTCTTATACTCAGAGGTTAAGGAGAACAATTTACCTCCCTCCTCCTTGTAACAACCATGGACGAACTTGAAAACTGTGATCATTTTCTTTCTTTCTCTCTGCCTCCTTCCATCTTCCCTGCCTGCACCCTGCCGCTCCAGTATCTAGCGTCACACCCTCTGTAGCTCGGTGGGTGTTTCTCTTTTGCCAGCCTTCTCTGTCTGCCTTTATGTCTCGCAAGGGATGGACGGAAGAAAGAGAGACAGATGAGGAGGAAGAGGAGCAGGATCTGAGCAAAAAGCCAGGCAGAGAAAAGAGGTTAGTACCAAGGTAGACAGGCAGACACCACTAAGAAGAGCGACATAAGCAATCCTGCCCATTCCTTCGATAGCTCAGCTGGTAGAGCGGAGGACTGTAGAAAACTAACAGAGTCATCCTTAGGTCGCTGGTTCGATTCCGGCTCGAAGGACGGGAATTTTTCCTGCCTGTTTTGAATATGGTATCATCTAAGAGTGTCGGGATCAAGGGAGGGCAATAGCCCCTCTGTCAAAGGATGGATGTGTTTCTCTTCCCATATCTCCCTGCTTTCTGGACGCCTCCCAAGTCACTCCCTCAACTTCAGGTGCTCGCGTTAGATGGGAAGATCTTTGCTGTCTGTGCAGCGCCCGGCACAATGGGGCCCTGATCTCAGCTGGGGCAGGGACTCTCTCTCCCTTTGTGTCTGTGCAGCGCCTGGCACAACGGGGCCCTGATCTCACCTGAAATAGCAGCTGGCCCTAATAGGGACAAAATTTAGGGTAATAACCTATCTCTCTGTGCATGTGCATCTTTAAAATTTGTCTCCCAAGACTGGATTATGAAGAACAGACAATGGTTGGAGCAAGGGGGTAGGGGTTGGATGTCAGGGCAGCTGGGTTTTATTCCCAGCTCTGGCAGGAGAGTGAGGGTCTCGTGACTAGAGCTGGTGGGGGGTTGGGTGTCAGGACTCCTGGGTTCTATCCCCAGTTCTAGCAGGGGCAAGCTGGTCTAGTGCTTAGAGCATGGTGGCAAATGGGCGTCAGGACTCTTGGGTTCTACTTCCCCTCCTCACTGTTTAACCAGCAGCTAGACATCTGTGACTCAGTTTCTCCTTCGGTACAGTGGGGCAAATGCTTCCCTCCCTCTTGGGGAATGTCATTAACAAGCGTCTGCCGAGAGCAGGTGCCTTTCACAAGCTCTGCCTCGCTGTCAAGCTTTGATCTGTCTCTTCCTCTCCAGAGTTGGCTGGAGCTTGCTGGATTCTCCCCAGCTCTTTGCCCGGAATGGCATTTCCTGGCCTGGAGGCTTGGCCCTTTCACTAGTTACAGTGGTGACCTCTGGGCTCTTTGTCCTGCCTGTGCCCGCGACAGCCATTGTACATTTGGGCCAGGCCTAGCCCGTCCCCAAGATCAGAGCAGCGCCTCTCCACTGCGCGGGGCAGCATCATGGTAAGCCTCTTTTCACTGGGGAAACTGAGGCACTGGACCTTGCCTAAAGTCACACAGGGAGTTAGCGGCACAGCCAAAGATAGACCCCGGGAGTCCTGACTCCCAACCCCCTGCCAGTTCTATCCCACTAGATCGCACTCCCTTCTCAGGGCTAGGCACAGAACCCAGGAGTCCTGACTCCCAGCCTCCCCTGCTCTAACCCACTAGACCCCACTCCCCTCCCCGAGCCGGGGAGTAAACCCAAGAATCCTGACTCCCAACCTTCCCGAGATCACAACACCTTTGCAGAACCAGTCAAACCCACACGCTGCCTGTGCCGCATTCCTGCCAGGGAGAGAAGCTGGCGGAGTGGAAGAACCAGACAGTTACGCAAGGGGATGTTTACCTGGAGCCTCTCCAGCCCCTAGGGGATGCTCCTCCCTCTCCGCCCACACCCTGCATAAAGGGGAAGGAGTTGCCCGAGCAAAGAGAAAGGAGCCATGGAAGGCCGGGGACCGGTGGCAGAGTTGCAGCGCTCCATCATCTGCCCTATCTGCAGGGGTCCCTTCAAGGACCCGGTGCTGCTGGACTGTGACCACAGCTACTGCCGAGCCTGCATCACGGGCCAGTGGGAGCGGGAGGGGGCGGGGGTGCTGTCCTGCCCCCAATGCCAGCAGGTCTTCGAGCGGCGCAGCCTGCGCACCCACGTCAAACTGGCCGTGGAGGTCAAGATCGCCCAGAACCTCAACGCCAAGACGGCCCAGGAGGCCAAGCCCCGTCGGCGGCGCGGCGGTTGGATCCCAGTGTCGGTCATGCCAGAGGGGCAGGTAGGTGGCTGGTTAACCTGTGGAATGCCCTGCTGCAGGATTCTAATCTGTGCACGGGAGGGTGGCCCGGGAGACAAAGCACCAGGCTGGGCCACAGGACCCCTGGGCTCTTTTTCTGGCTCTGCCAGTGGCTTTGGGCACTTCACTCTCCCGAGCCTCAGTTTCCCCAGCTCTAAAATGGAACTAATGATCCTGACCTCCTTTGTGAAGCGCTTTGAACTCTGAAGATGAAAAGCACACGCGCAAGGGGTTATTATAATATAGGCTCCAGCGCAGCTCTCATTGCTGGGGAGCGGAGCGCCTACCCGTCGTGCATGACACAACGCACTGACACATCTGTCACCAGGTGTTCATTCTCCCAGCCACTCCACCACAGGGGAGACGCTTGTGCAGGGGAGTGTCTTGTTTTGGTAGGGTTGCTTTGTTGTTTTCTTGAATAATACAGGCATGGAGAGACTGGGGGACCCAGGGATGGGGGTATGAGGGGTCCACAGAGACGCTGCTATGGAGGGTGGGAGACTCTGGCTTGGGGGAGGGGGGACACGCAGAACTCCTGGTGTGGGTGGGGGGGAGATGTGATTCATTGATTCCAAGGTCAGAAGGAGCCATTGTGATCTTCTGGTCTGAGCTTCTGTAGAGTGCAGGCCGGAGAACTGTCCCCCCCAATAATTCCTACAGCGGCTCCTGGTCTGGGGGGCAGGGAGGGGAGAACGGGGGGGGCACACAGCACCCTTGCCATGGGGGGGGAGAAGGGAAGTGGAGGGAGAATTGGAAGCCCTTGGAATGGGGGGCTGGCAGTACCTTTGCCATGGGGGCAGGGAGAAAGGGGTGCCAAGAACTTCTGTTTGGGGGGGAGATGGGAAGCATCTGGTATGGGGACACACAGAGCTCCTATCATGTGGGGAGAATTGGAGGCATAAAAAGCCCTTGCCATGGGGGTGGGAAATGGGGGAACAGATGCCCCCAGAGCCACCGATATGGGGGGGACACAACTGGGAACCTTGCTATGGGGAGAGGGATCCTAAAGCTCCACTCCATGGGGGTTGCTGGTATGGAAGAGGAGGAGGCACCCAGAGACCCTGGGAGGGGGAACACAGAGAATTTGAGGTGAGAAGCTAAGAGCCCCTGCCTGGGGCCTGATCCGGGTGCAACGAGCCAATGCTGGGGATTGAACCGAGAACCTTCGGGGCTAAAGATAGGAGCTGCGTCCCCTGCGAGGGCTGTAACAGTTACCAGCCCAACCCCTGGTTTGGGCAGCAAGGAGACACCCTCCCATGCTGAGCAGTGGGGCTGGGTTTTAAGCCATCCTGGCTCCAGCTCGTGACCCTCCTCCAGTTCCACCCATCCCCACCCGTGCTGTGGTTCTGCCTGGAGGTCTCACCGCCCCCGCCCCCCCCTGCATCGCGCCGGGCGCTGCACAAAGCAAATAGCAGCTCCCAGGTTCCCCAGGGGCTGGTCTTGCGCTGTGTGTGTGTGTGTGGGGGGGGATTTCGACAGCTCCCTCGGAGGCACCCACCACACGGCCGCTGACAGACGCTGAATGGGCCCCGTTGGTCTGATGTGGATGGCGGGGAGCCGGGATACTGATGGGCCGATTCCCATGCAGGGTGTCCATTATGTGGCGGGCAGGCTGGAAAGGTTACGGGTCTGTTATTTCAGTGCTGCCTACACACAGGACCCCTTTAACTGCCTCCTACGGTAACCCAGCAGCCACCCCGGTCCCTATTTTACTGGTGGGGAAACAGAAATATAATCGGGGGGGCTGACTCATCCAAAATCCTGACTGCCCCGCCCGACCCCCTTCATTTCTAACCCAGCGGCTCTCAACCAGGCGTACGCCGAGGTCTTCCAGGGGGGACATCAGCTCCTCCAGACATAAGCCTAGTTTTACAACAGGCTGCATAAAAAACATTAGAGACGTCAGGCCAAACTAAAGTTTCAGACAGACCGTGACTGGTTTATCCGGCTCTATAGACTATGCACTGAAATGGAAGTACAGGATTTCTATTCCCCTTGATTTCGTTTAGAATGATACGGTAACAAGGAGAACATCAGCACTCACAGGGGCTGTGACACTTGTCGTTTTAGGTCTGATTTTGTGAGCATGTTGTTTTGAAGTGAGGGGAGACTTGGGGGTACACCAGACAAATCAGCCTCCTGAAAGGGGGACAGTAGCCTGGAAAGGTTGAGAGCCACTGGGCTAGTGCAAAAGGCTCTAGTTGTGGTTTCCATTTGGGTACTGGGGCTCCTCCCACCAAGCCATCTAGCCTTAAAGGTCATGGGGGAAAGTGCCAGCCAATCACAATGGGACAGTGCCACCATTAGACCCCACTGCCTACCCAGAGCTGGGGATAGAACCCAGGAGTCCTGGCTCCCAGCCCCCACTCATTTCAACCTGCTAACCCCCGCTCCTCTCCCAAAGCTGGGGCTAGAACCCAGGAGTCCTGGCTCGCAGCCCTCCCCTGCTACAAGTACTTGACTGCACATGCAGCTAGGCTTGGTGCCCACGTGCTGTTTACCTGGTGGTGGCAGTGGGCCAGGCCAAGGCGCGGAATGTAAACACAGGCCGCGCCCTGGGGCCCTGTCCTCGTGAATTAGTCAGCAGCCCCCCGGGCATGTGGGAATCCTGTCACCAGCCACCGCGACCCGCCCGCGGAACCGTCCCGGCTCGTCCCACCGCATCCTTCCCCGGCTCATCACAGACCTTGGCTCACCGCACGCACGAGCTGTTCCAGCCCCACTCACCCTCTTGGAATTTACGAGCCGGCCACGTCAATATCTCCTCCTGGCACCAGCCAACCTGGGCACGCCAGCCTCAACCACGTGCCGTGGGCAGCTTGGGCCGGGCCCAGCAAAGCCAGCGCCTCTTGCCCAGCCAAGCTTTCTCCTCGCCCCCTTCCCCTGCGGGCTCATTTCCCCTCCGTCTTCTTCCTGATCCTGTTCCGGGGCACGGAGCCTGATTGGACCCAGCACCACACACTGTTACCGCCTGGGTCTATGGTGTCCAGATAGCAAGTGTGAAAAATCAGGATGGGGGTAGGGGGTAATGGGCACCTATAGAAGACAAAGCCCCCATGGGCGGCACATGAACCTCCCCTTTGGGGAGGTTAGCCCTCCAGCCCCTCCCCTTCCACCCAAGGCCTCACCCCTTCCACCCAAGGCCCCACCCCTACCCCACCGCTTCTGGCCCCCCTTGACTACTGGATCCCCCCTCCACTACGGCCAGAGGAGCCTGCCCCGAGCCCTGGGCCAGCTGCCCCGAACCCTGGCCGGCCTGCCCGCCTCTAGTCCCAGGCCGCTGGCCGGCCTGACCCCTGGCCCAAATCCCTGGCCACCGGCTGGCCCGAGCCACTGGCCAGCCAAGTACCGAGCTTCAAGTGTCCGACCCGAGCTGAGACCCCACCAGCTTCAGGAGAGAGCAGCCATTTTAGCACTTTTGAAAAGTTAAAAAAAATTGTTCCAGGTTGAGTGGAAACCAAACGTTTTTGAAATGTTCAGTGAAGCGAAAAGTGGGGCGGGGGAGGGGGGGGAATCATTTTGAGGCGAGCAAAACATTGTGTTTCAATTATGACCCTTTAAAAACTATTTTTGAATGTTATTAAAAATAAAACGAAAGACACTTAAGAAGTGAAAAGTTGTTTCCTACCAAAAAAATTGAAACATTTTGGGGTTTTTTGGGGGGGGGGAGGGGGATTTTTTTTTTCTAAAATAAACAGTTCAGCTAAACTGACACAAATTTTGTGGGGGAAAATGCTTGTTTTTCTTTCAAAACAAACAATTCAGCGAAATTGACATGAATTTTGACTTTAGTTTCCAAAATGAAGAATTTGGCAAAACAGATGCAAATCCACGACACAGTAGTTTGCCAAATCTGCATTTTTTTTACTCAAAAAAGTTTCTACCGAAAAATATCCCCCAGCTCTGTCCAACAGCTCCTGTCCCGTGGCCGATGGCCAACTCTACCCTGAGTCTAATGATGTCTCTCTCTGTCTTCTCTCCACCAGGGTGTCGGGAATATCTGCAGATAGTGAGTGCCCCTTTCTTCTGCATGGTGTAAGTTGGCGGGCACAGGGCCTGGCGCGGATGGCACTATCACTGGCCACCATTCACCTGCCCCCAAGGCCCCAATCTATGATTTCCCCCAGGTGTGAGCATGGCAGGGAGGAATGGCCACAATCCAAGTGCAACCTCCATGGGGGGACGTCCGGCCTTTGAGAATAGGGCGTGGAGCTTAATAGGGGAGGCGGCACCAACAACTGATGGTCCCAGGGTCAGTGATGGAGCGTGGCGAGAGTGGCACAAGAAATGCCTGTGCGGTGGGGAGTGGGACAGAAGTGCAGTAGGGGGCGCTTTCCTCTCCCACTCAGTGCAGACCCCAATTCCCCAGTGCGGCACTAGGGGGCGCCTGATGCCGTTCGGCCATAAAGTTGCTCAGGGTTATTAAAGCCGCTTTCCCCTCAAAGCCGGGCCACTGGTACTGAATTCCAGCCCATTTAATTCCACCGCCATAAATTCTCCCAGCTGTTGCCGTTACATCCTTCTGCGCTCCCTGTCCTAAATTGCTGCGCCGCTCTTAACCAGCGGCAGCGCCCCCACCCCAGAAGTAGCTGCATCTCAGCTCTAGGTGAGTGATCCCTGTGGAGTGTCATGGTGCAGCTACCTCCCACCCCAGACATGGCTGCATCTCCATGCTGGTGAATGACCCCAAGGAAGCATTTTGGTGCGGCTGTTCTCACCCACCGACCCACCCAGGGGTGGCTGCATCTCAGCCCTGGGTGAACGATTCCTTGCTGTGGAGCTGTTCCCCAACTGCCCCACCCCAGAGGTGGCTGCATCTCAGCGCTGGGCTAGTGTCCCTAGCATAACAAGCCTATACATCCCTTGGGGGTGATTATCATCCATACCCTCCCTCTCTCTCTGCAGCTAACGTGATGCCGGACCCTCCCCAAACCGTCCACTCTGACCTGAGCCTCTCGGACAATATCAGGACCGTCCACCTGGGCTTTGGAGACCAGCCCTGGCTCCCAGACAACCCCTGAGAGATTCAATGTGCTCCCAAGCCATGCCAGGCAGCCAGGGTGTCTCCTCCAGCCACATGCAGCAGAGCTCGGGCGCGGCACATACAGTGACCCCCTGTGGATAGGCCTCAGCCTCGTGCCCACAGGGGTCCCCCCTCTGGGGGACAGGGACAAGCTGAATGTCGATGGACCAGCCCTGGGGACAGATGCAGAAATGTCTCCCCCTAAGAACAAAAGTGGGACCCACTGGCCCATCTTATGGAGCACAGCTGGGAAGAACCATCTGGGGCTAATGATCAAAGCTGGCGCCCCCTAGTAGGGAAAGGCCCCATGTCCCATTTCCCCCCCACCCCCCCAGCCAGCTGGTCTCCCTGTCCTGGACCAGATTGGATCCTGGAACAAGAGTAGAGCCAATGCCCCATAGAGGGGAAAGGTTCCATGTCCCATTCCCTGCCCCCCGAGCCAGCCAGCCTCCCAACCCTGGGCCAGATCACAGCCATAGAAGGGAAAGGCCCTGTATCCTAATCCCCGAACCAGCCAGTCCCCCCAGCTTGGGGCCAGATGAGGCCGGCCCATATCCCGTTCCCCTACCCCACTGAGTATTTTCATGCCGTCCGCTTTCTTGTCTCACCAGTTTTCCCTGCCGCTCTCCGCTGCAGCTGTGTTGTATTCTTGTGTGGCTGCCCCTGGAGTTTGTATTTAGTCCAGTGCAGGCCTCTATTGTGATGAATTTTTTTTTTTTTTGAGCACAAGAGGAAAAAATAAACTCCTCTGGGAAACATGGGCCAGCCAGTCCTTCGCTCTTCGGTTTTCTTTTGAAGACCAACCCCTCTATGCCTGCGGGCAAGAGAATTTCCTCACCTGGCACGTGCCATCTGGCTCACCCAAGATATCCTGGGAGGTGTTAAATGAAAACACGGGTCACATTGGTCATTAATAGCGGCGTGAGGTATTGGCACAGATACTCGCTGAGACGTTTCCGATGACTGCTGAAAGTCTGTCCCAACCGGTAGCCAGGCAGAGCTCACAAACAAGTTTCTGCCAGCCAAACTCACCTCTCTCTGCAGTCAGCCAACACAATGAGCGCTCCTTTTACATCCAAAGGCCACAGGGAGAGGTGGCACTGGAGAATGGACTAGGGGCCGACAATGAACTTTGGGGGATATTAGAGGATGCCACCCCCTTACCATGCACCTGGGAAATAATTGAGCAGTGAGATTAGTCATGAAAAAACACAATCATCCTGAAACTTGGGCAAAAGCCGTTTGGGGCAAGGGAAACGTGATGGGTCGGTTTCGTTTAGTCCCTAGACAGCACGTTACGATTTTGTTTTACTATATAGCTGGGCAGATCCATTAGCTGTATTCACTGGCTCTTGGATCTCACACAACTGGCTGTTTTCACTATCAACATCCCTCAGTGCCGCGGTATGGAGTTGAGTGCTGGAGCTGAATCAGACAAGCGGGTGTGTGTGCCACCCCCAGATGAAGACAGCAGGCCTGGGATTGCTGCAAGTGGTTAAGGGCTGCAGGGGAACATTGCAACGGGCATGGGGGTTGAGTGCCCACCCCCCTATTGGCCTGCCAGGGGTGAGGAGGGAGAGGGGCTCTGTCCTCTCCCTGCACCTCTCTCCCGGCATGTTTGGCCGCGCTCTCTGGCAGCCCGACGGGGAACGGGACGGAGCCACTTCTGCCTGAGAGAACCTGGCTGGGAGGCAGCTGTGGTCCTTTCCCTGCCCTGGCTGGGCTCCTGGGGACAGGGTGGTTTTGTCCATGTGGCTCTGAGGTTAAACCTCTTTGTGCATCAGTGGGGATACCAGACAGCCAGCTAAGCTTGTCGCGTGTTTGGAGGTTCACAAGCCTTTAGCCCTCCCGCTAGCGGCTTTCCCTCAGGGCCGGCGCCTCAGCGGCGTTCAGGCCCCTAACTCTCATTGGGTTCAGTGGGAGAGAGGGGCCCAAAACTCTTTAGGCTCTGGACCTAAGTATTTACAGTTACGGGTGAGTCACTCACGAGAGAGCCAACTGAGGCTGAGAGAGAGGAAATGACTAACTAAATGGAACCCAGGCATCCTGGCTCCCAGCCCCACCCCTGCTCTAATCCACTAGACCCCACTTCCCTCCCAGAGCCAGGAATAGAAACTAGGTGTCCTGGCTCCCAGCCCCCCCTGCTCTAACCCACTACACCTTACTCCCCTCCCCGAGCAAGAGAACCCAGGAGTCCTGCCTCTCTCTGACCTCCCCAACCGCTTGGCAAATCAAACTCTCGGAGAAGAATTCCTCCATAAAAGGCAACTCTTTGCTGCACGCACAGAATTCTGTCCCTGGGGGCCGGCTCATGCCAGGATAATGACAGCTTTCCTCTTCCAGGCTGTTTTTCCTGGGAGTTCCCCTCAGCCTGGCTGCAGGAAGATGGGCAGCCCCGCCTGGCTTGTTCCCATTATCCCAGCCTTGGGCCTGTACCAGCAGGAGCTGAGATGAGAGGGGCTGGGACGAAGCCAGGTCTGGAGCAGGGCTCCAGCTCCTTCCAGCTAGCGTTGGCGTCCTCTCCGGGTCCCAGGTGCGGAACAACGATCCAGAAGCCCCTGCTGCTCCGGGAGGAAAGCGGCCGCTCCTTCACACTCCCCCCAGCGCCCAAGCCGCTGACCCAGCCCCAAGAAGCTGGCGTACAGGGCAGGCAGTAGAGGGCGACAAAGTCAACATGGTGGAGAATGACCCCTGCCCCAGTGCATTGTGGGAGCCTGCCTCAGTTACCCCCGTCCGTCCCATGGCTGGACACAATGGCTCTCAGGGCCAGTGGGCACCTGACCGCGCCAGTCCCGGGGCAGCATCTCCCTCTGCACCTTACCACTTCCCAAACAAGGAGTCAGTTCCCAGGAGCACAGTCTCCCCAAGTGGGGCCCAGCAGGCCTTGCTCGGCTACCCACCGGCCATACAGAGGGGACTGCCAAGGGGGTGGAGTGGGGGTACCCAGACCCGCGCTGCCCTGGTCTTTCTGGGATCGCCAGTGGGTCAGGTCTGGCCGTCTCTGTGCGCCGGCTGCTGGCTCAGATTTCAGCATCAGGCTCTGATACTCAGCCCGCTCTGCTTTAACCCACTAGACACCACTCCCCTCCTGGAGCTGAGGATAGAACCCAGGAGTCCTGCCTCCCGGTCCCCCCTCTCTCACCCACTAGAGTCCACCCCCCTCCACAGTAGAACCCAGGAGTCCTGACTCCCAGCCCCCCACCCAGCCACTGAATAAAGAGCTGACGGAAACACTCCTGTTCAGCACTGCCCCTAACCCCCACTCTGCCTGGAGAGGGCGCTGTTCTGCTTCAGGCTGTAGTTATTTAATGAAGAAAAACCGCAGCCCTTAGGGCCTGTGACAAAAGTCCCACAGCTGCTGCTCACGCGTCAGGGCCTCGGCCCACGGCATCTGTCTCTCTGACGAGTCCTCGCGGTTGCAGAGAGGCTGTGTGAGCCAGCTGCTGTGCCCCACCCCAGAGGCAGCTGCCTTTCAGGGCAGGGTGAGCAACTCCTCTGGCATACTGCTGCCTGGTTGTCACCCAGCTGCCATCCCCCACCCCAGAGGTGGCTGCATTTCCGCATTGCCCATCGACCGCTGCACAGAGTTGCCGTTACAGAGCGGCTTTGCTCCACGCCAGAGGTGGCTGCATTTCCACTGCAGATGTATGGTCTGCTGGAGGCCTTTGGATTGAGAATAGAGGACTATTAGCAGCGACATCCTGACTTTCGGGGACACCGTGTCTAACCATCAGAGCTAGCAGAAAGTTCAGGTAGAGGCAGCCCCGAACACAGCTGCTCATCAGGGAAAGAAGAGATACAGAGATGGGAGGGTTAAGTGAGGCATTTACGAGTTCAAAAAGGGCTAAATGAAAACATGCTGCTCTGACTCCGAGACGCACTCCCCTCCCAGAACTGGCTAAAGAACCCAGGAGTTCTAGCTCCCAGCCTCCACCCCCCCTGCCCACTAGATCTCACTCCCCTCCCAGAACTGGGAAAAGAACCCAGGAGTCCTAGATCCCAACTTCCATGCTCTAACCGCAAGACCTCTCTCCCGGCTCTGGGAGAGTACACTCAGAGCCACTGCACACGTGACAGCAGCCTCTAAGGAAAGGAAATACCACCACATACGAGACACAGTGGAACTGTGGAACTCATTGCTGCAGGACTATTTCACTGGGACGGATATTTATTGAAGGTAAACCACAGAGCGTGGGTATGTAGAAATCAAGCGTCAAGTTCATGCCCGTAACGAGGTATACAGAAAGCTTTCGAAGTGAGGGGTTTAGTTGGGCAGGGATAGGGGGGGACTGGTGATAATTTTTCTTATTAATTTAGAAAATAACAGGATGTCCAAATCTTGTCTTCCCGGTTTTGCTGGAGGTTACCTCAAAGGAACCAGGAGGCAGATCAGGAGAGGTCGCAAGGGAAGGGGATTTAGGAACAGGGACTCTTTCACGAAGACCGTTTTTCTCCCAGCTGTTTTGGGGGTGTTTGAGATAAAGGCGAAGAAAGAGCATTCAACTGAACACAAATCAACGGAGCGCGTTTGTCTTCTGGGGTATCCGCCATGCTGTAAGCACACCAGTTCTTTAGTCACCTAGAGAGACTTCCAGGGCAGACGACACCTAGATTTCTAGTGTTAAGAAGAAATCAAGCAGGAAAAAAACACCACCTTTTCCAGGTAAAATCCGACAAGCCTCCTTTATACATCAGGAAGAAGCGTGGAAGGAAACAAGGCCACAGCCAGAGATTGTTTGTCCTCTTACCAGGACACTGTAAACGTTTTATGATCAACACCATTTGCGGCTATGAAAGGGAAAACAAGGGTGATTAAAGCTTCTATTTCAGGGCCTTGGCAGAGCTGTGTGTGTGATGGGGGCGGAGGGATAGTAGTAGGTGAAGACTGAGGGGCACTGGCAGAGCTGTGGGGTGGGAGGAGAAGCCAAGGGCTGGGCTAGCAGGGGGCTGTGGGCTGGGAGTGAGGGGCACCGGGAGAGCTAGGGGGAGGGGCTGGACTGGCAGGGGGCTGCAGGTCGGGAGTGAGGGGCACCGGCAGGGCTGGGGGAGGGAGGGGCTGTGCTGGCAGGGGACTGTGGGTCGGGAGTGAGGGGCACCGGTGGGGGGAGGGGCTGGGCTGGCAGGGGGCTGTGGGTCGGGAGTGAGGGGCACCGGTGGGGGGAGGGGCTGGGCTGGCAGGG